TCAGAGGTACCCTTCAACAAGTAATGTCTCTTGTGGTCAAGAAACATTACTTGAAGGTTCACTCTTCCTTCAGTTTCAAGTAGAATTAAATGTAATACTTTGAATTCAAATAGCATCTGTAGTATGGTCCAGTTCTTACGAAGTAGCTCTGTGAACTTCCCTCCTATCTTTACGCACAGAAAGCTTTCTGGAATGATGTGATGTTATGGTTATTTCTATGGTTGATTCTGAAAGGTCGTATACACCTGATTATTTTCTTGCTTGTCACTTTTTAATTTTCTGATACATCTATGAATACAAAAATTTTAAATATTAGAAGCAAAATGTTCTCAGGCTCCTCACTGAAAGAAAATAAATAGTAAAAAACAAACAAACAAACAAAACAAACAACTTGGCAGAGGGATGCTATTTCCCAGTGTCTACTCTCTTCACATTTTATAGACTTTTTAGCATATACTTGATGGTCAGTATATAGACCCTGTTTCCCAACTGGGGTTCTGGCTGATAGGATGTAGGCATACATACCATGCGGCAGCTTTCGGCTCATTGGAGAGTACCTGCTCATTTTCTCTTTATCACCTTCATTCCTTCCTGCTGCCTGGAATGCAGATATCACTATATGGGACCATGAGGTCAAGATCTTTCAAAGCAAAGGGACACAGAAGGTGCGTAGAATGTCACATCACCTAGACTGCCTCTGTGGATAGCATGAAGAAGAAACTCCTATCTTGGGATGCCTGGATGGCTCGGTTGGTGAAGCCTCTGCCTCTGACTCAAGTCATGGGTCCCAGGGTCCCAGAATTGAGTCTCACATTGGGCTCCCTCCTTAGCTGAGAGTCCACTTCTCCCTCTGCCTGCTGCTTCCCCTGCTTGTGCACTCTCTCTCTCTCCCTCACAAACAAATAAGTAAGTAAGTAAATAAATAAATATATTTTTTTAAAGAAACTTCTATCTTGAGGAAGAATGGAACCAAATTCTAGCTGACTCACAGACCTACCCATACACATATAGAAATCTAGGCTGTGATGCTATTTGCACTGTACATCAGTGGGGAAAGACAAAGCAATTGGCTTGGCACGTGAATAAACAAATCACTGATGCATCTAAATGTGACAAAAATTTTAAAAACACTTTTTTTTAAAAAAAAGATTTTGTTTATTTATTTGAGAGAGAGCACAAGCAGGGTGAAGGGCAGAGGGAGAAGCCAACTCCCTGCCAAGCAGGGATCCTGATATGGGACTCGATCCCAGGACTCCAGGACCATGACCTAAGTTGAAGGCAGACGCCCAACCGACCAAGCCACCCAGGTGCCCTAAAAACGCTTTATAAGAAAATACAAAGGGGGGGCACCTGGGTGGCTCAGTAGGTTAAAGCCTCTGCCTTCGGCTCGGGTCATGATCCCAGGGTCCTGGGATCGAGCCCCACATCGGGCTCCCTGCTTGGCAGGGAGCCTGCTTCCTCCTCTCTCTCTGCCTGTCTCTGCCTGCTTGTGATCTCTGTCTGTCAAATAAATAAAATCTTTAAAAAAAAAAAAAAGAAAATACAAAGGGAGTATCTTTATGAATTTCAGAGAGGGAAGTATTTTTTAGAAAGAGGTTTTATGGTGAAAATCATAAAGGAAACAATAGGTAAACTTTACAATGCCAACTTTTTAAACTTTTTGTACGACACAGGAAACTACAAAACAAATGTAAAAGATAAGCAACAGTGAAGTCTGACATGTTCAAGTTCAGTGTGGTGCTGGATGCATATGGGGGGTGGGAGCAGAGGGGTGGTCAACTAAATTTGAGGAGAACTGCATATTCATTCCCTTTACCTCTTACATAGTGACAATGTATATTAGCTTATCAAAAGATCTGAGAACTTCTACAGAAATCACTTTTTTTTTTCCTGTGTGGAACTCAGCATTCATACATGCAGTTATTTATTTAACTGTGGGGTCACTGTGTGTGTGTGTAGTATCTATGAACTTCTCCTGCATGTATCGGGAACACATGAAAATGTTGCCATAAGAAATAACACTTCGCTTTTTGTGTGAGAAAGGATTGTTGCATTCACCTTTGTGTCCCCACAGGAACCTCTTTTTTTTTTTTTTTAAGATTTTATTTATCTGACAGAGAGAGACACAGCAAGAGAGGGAGGGAACACAAGCAAGGGGAGTGGGAGAGGGAAAGCAGGCTTCCAGCACAGTAGGGATCCCAGGACTCTGGGATCATGACCTGAGCCAGAGCCAGGGCTCCGTCAGACCTGAGCCAAGGCAGACGCTTAACTCAGGCGCTGCTGCCGCCCCCCCCCACCCCCCCAACAGGTAACTCTCACTCCTTCAGTAGTTTTGACCAGTATTAGCATTGGAGGGAAGGGGAAGGAAGTGGAGAGGGTGGAGAGGGAGGATGAGGAGGAGAGGAAGAGAGAAGAGGAAGAAGATGAAGAAGGGGAAGGGGAAGAAGAAGAAGAAGAAAGAAAAAGAAATTTAGGGTTTGGGAGTAGGTATAAATTCCCCTAGTAAAGTAACATATCCCAAGAGAAGGAAGTCAGCTGTAATTTGGGTTGTACCTTTTCACAGCCATCAGCTGGGACTACTAGAAGCAGACATTATGAAACATGCCCAACTAGGGGAAAAAAGATCATTTTAAAGATAATTTAGGGAACTCCTGGGTGGCTCAGTCGGTTCAGTGTCTGCCTTAGGCTCAGCTCATGATCTCCCCGTCCTGGAATCAAGCCCTGCACCAGGCTTCCTGCTCAGCTGAAGTCTGCTTCTTTCTCTCTCCGCCTCTCCCCACTGCTCCTTCTCTCTCTCTCTCTCTCTCTCTATCTCTCTCAAATAAATAAATAAATGATCTTTAAAAAAAAAAAATTAGGGCTGATTTCAGAGAGTTGTAATGCAGAAAATAGCATTTGTGACAGATATCCTGCCAGTTATGGAGGAAAAAAGGAAAGAGCAAATATGGTCTAGCATGGTCAATTCAACATTGATCTCGGTCTCTTTCTCTCTCTGTGTGTCTGTCTGTCTCTACTCTGACATTAAGGCCTTTATAGTCTTTCTATTTTTTTTTAAGATTTCATTTGATTTTTTAAAAAGATTTTATTTATTTATTTGACACAGAGAGAGAGAGCGCAAGTAGGGGGAGTGGCAGGCAGAGGGAGAAGCAGGCTTCCCTCTGAGCAGGGAGCCCGATGTGGGGCTCAATCCCAGGACCCTGGGATCATGACCTGAGCTGAAGGCAGATGCTTAACCAACTGAGCCACCACTGAGGGACCCCTAAGGTTTAATTTCTAACTAATCTCTACCTGTAATGTGGAACTCAAACTCACAACCCAGAGATCAGGAACTTCGGTCTCGACCGACTGATCCAGCCAGGCACCCCAAAGCCTTTATAGTCTAGAGAGAGAGATTTTATTAAGCATTTTATTTCAAGTATAGTTTAAAGCCCTTTACTTATTTTGTCTCATTTAATCCTTTAAGAGAGGTACTCTACTTCTTATTTTTAGGATGAGGAAAAAGACAAACAGTTAATTGTGTAAAGTTAAAAAGTTATCAAGGGATTGGAGGCAGAATTCCAACACAGGAGGTTTGCCATTGGTCCAACTCACTTTACCACTGCTTTGCCTATTTCTTGTAGATAACTACTATATAGCATATGAAACACCATGATAGGAACAAAGTGAATACATTGAGTCCAAAAGGACCAGTGGAGCCAGTTTAGTTCAGTGACAAGCTACCGTTTGTCTAGAAGAGAAGAGAAGAGAAAGCCATTTCAGGGTAAGAAGGTCACCTACCTACCGACAAGCCAGTGGAAGGGCAGGAAAGGGGCTCCTTTTAAATCCAGATGTGCCAAGTCCAGATATGGTCTTTGGGTACCTTGAGCCAGCACAAGTTTCTGAGCAGGAGGGAGAGGCCAGGTTTTTTCTCAGGAAGATATTAGGAGTGATGAGGGGAAGGTATGGAGGGTGGACAGACGGAGATGAGGCCAGTGGAGGAGCAGGAGGCAAACCCTGCCTTATTTCCAAAGAGAAAGAAAGGCAGAGGGAAGGGTTAGAAAAAAGGACAGTTTTAGATTTGGAGGTGGATTTTGTATTGCTAGTCAGGGAAAAGGACCAGAGCTTCCTGAAGCCATTGGCTTTGGCAGAAGTGGTGTTTTTCTGAGATTTGTGCACATTTTGAGGAGCGAGGTTAGCAGAGAGAATGTGCATGCATTGGGATCTGTTATTCTCTTTGCACAGGGCCCAGATTCCATTAGGACGTCTCCCCCAAATCCCTGGAGCAAGCAGGGTGATGACAACTTGCAATCGGGTGCCTTGCCCGTGGAGGTGAAATGAGCATCCTGCGCATTCCTTGCGCAAGAAGTCAACTTGCAGGAGCTGAAGGCTGGTCTCTTCCCGGGAAGGCCGCCAGGCCGGACTCGCGGGTCCCGCCCCGGGTCCCGCCCTGGCTCCGATCAGAGCATCAGGTGGGGCCCAGGGCACGGGCACACGAGGCTCAGGCGGCCTCTCCTGTCCCCGATGGGCAGCAAGTAGCCCGTCGACACTCTGGCCGGTGGTCCCAGCGCATTTGCAGGCTCCGACGGGGTGGAGGCGCCTTGGTGGGGGACCCCTAGGCGCTCGCAGTGCCCCATTCTCTTCGCCATGGAAGTGGCTTCCTAGCGAGTGGGGCCCTGTCACGACCATCCGGGCTTGGCCCCAGCTTCCCAGAGAGACGCGCACTGGCCCTTGGCCCCCCAGGCACTGCCCTCCCGGCCCCCAACTCGCGGACTACAAGTCCCAGCAGGCCCCGCAGCTTGCACCTCCCGCCTCGCAGCGGAGACCCCCGGCCGTCCAAGCCGGGCTCTGGCTGCGCTCGTGGCGGGGCCGGGCGGGGAGGCCGGTCCCGCGGGCGGGGGCGGGGGCGGGGGCGGCTCCGCGACTTCTCCCGCCGCCGCCGCCAAGGGGAGTTTCCAGGAAGTGGCCATATTGGATCCATTCAGCCGCAGCCGCCGGGGCGGAGCGCGTCCCGCAGCCGGCTGGTCCCCGTCGCGGCCCGGGTGCTCGCCCCGGCTCGCCCACCCGGTGCGGAGCTCGCTATGGCGGCCACTGACCTGGAACGCTTCTCGGTGAGGGCCCTGCTGGGCCGCGGCGCGCGCGGGAGACGCGGGGCGCGGGGCGCGGGGCGCGGGGAGGGGGCCGCCCTGCAGCTGGCCGGGGGCGCCAGGCGGGCTGTCAGCTCCAAGCGGCCGGGCCTCGACGCCGGGCTGGCTTGGGGACACCCGAGCGGGCTCTTCGCAGCGCTAGCCTGGGGTCCCGGGGCGTCGGGTGGGGGCGCCTTCTTTGGGCGCGCGAGATGTAGACCCCCTTCGCGGGAAGGAGCAAATAAATACCTGCCTGGTTCGGGCCAGGTGCTAGGACAGACTGTGGGGCCTCAGGAGCCGGAGCGGGGGGGGGGGTGGGATCCCGGATCCTCAGGACCCCCACATCTCCCTGGGTGTTTTTGCACTGCTGGGGAGAGTCCTAGTCGCGCAGGTGCTGTTGGATGGGCACAGCCTAGAGGATGAAGCCCAAAAGGATCCGCGGGAGTCCTTTAGATGAGCCCCGAATAGTTGCAGACTTGGATCCTGAAGACCTTGGGCCTGCTTTTTGCCTTTTTTAAACGCTCGTCTCCCATCCCCACTCCTCACCTAAGTGCCCAGATCCTGGGGGAGATTCCACGCAGGTCCCGCCTCAGTGATCCGGTCTGAAGCAGCCATTCCCCCGGGAACGAGCGATTCTAGATTCAGCCAAGTGGATGTTTGTTTGGGCCTCAGTCTGGGTTTGCCTTCTGCAGGACTACCGGCTCGGTGGTTCCTGCGGGGGGTCTCTGTGGGGCCGAGCCCACCAATAGCCAACTTCCTGAAGATGTTTATAATTCACCTGGGGGAGGGGAGCCCTTTGGGGATTGTGTCTGCCTGTCCCCTGGTGTCTAAGGCTGGATCTGGGTGTGTCTGGGAGGCCGGGCTGTGACAGTGAAGGGAGCTGTGTCCTCTTGCCAGCATGTGAGGCCCTGGTCGGGCGGGAAGAGGGGAGGGAGGGCCCGGGGCTGTTAGGGGGGCAGGGGGGAAATGTTGAATATGTGACTGATAAGAAATTGGTTCTGGGGCTAAATTAAGGAGCTAGGACTTATGTAATTAATGCTATAAATACTATCATCTGAATTTATGTATGTAAATTTACCCTTTAATCTGAAAATACATTTGTTGGTCTACTTTGGAAATATGCATAACTGAATCAGGAGCTTTTGGTTTCATAATTTCTAGACTGAGGTGTTTTATTCCCATTGAGGAGGGGGCTCTGTGTCAGTCAAGTAAGTTTAAATACAGGAGGAGCTGAATTAGGTTTACCTCACACCTGCACCGTAAATTGGAGTTTATGTACCCAAGGAGGGCAGTCACTGAATCCTAAGAGACCTGATTAGCTGAGGCCAAGAGATCAGTGAATGTTTGCGCATCTATGCATGCGTGTCTGTGTACATTTTCTGCGCCTAGCTGACCAGAAAGTTATGTCTGAGTCTTGTCTGTGGCCGGAGGTTGCTCTGACAGTTGGTTTTGCTGGTGGGAATGGTATGTAGAGTAACCAGAATCAGACTGCCCCATATGAATCCTAGACTACTACTTATTGGTCATGTGACCTTGAGCACGTTAGTTAACTCCTCAGTGTTCTTCTCTGTGTATTGGGATAAAAATAATACCTTCCTCCGAGGCTTATTGGATGGATTCAATAGGAGAATCCAGATGAGGTACTGGAGCAGTGTCTGGCATGTGGTAAGGATTCAGTAAATGATGCAGGATACCTAGTGCCTGAGTGAATGCGGACACTGGCCCTCTGTGTAAGAAGGCAGTGCAAGAGGAGTTACACAATATGCTCCCTGGGGCTTCCATCACTGCATGCCCAGAGATAGTTCTCAGACCCTGAGCCTCGTCACTGCATGCCCAGAGATGGTCCTCAGACCCTGAGCTGAGAGGCCTGATGGCACTGCCAGGAGGGGGGTGGCAAGGCCCTTATCCTCAGATTCCTGTGTTGGCATTTCTGTGAGGATCTGGGGTATTACTTCCTTGGTGGGGCAAGGCACAGAGAGGGGACTGACTCAGGTATGGTCATATGGCCTGAGCTCAGGGCCTTTCGTTACGGTGCCAGGTTAAGCTGGTTAGAGGGACGCCTTCCACAGTCTCCACGCTCTGAGCCATCAGCCTCCTTGGGAGGATTTGCATAGGGTTGAATTTGGGTGGAGACCTTGGGTGGAGTTTGGCCTGAATTTAGAAGTCTGGACTCCATTCTTCTCTCCTGGCTTGTCATCCTGGGAAAGTCATTTCTTTTTCTATCTTGCTATAAAATGGGCCCAACCATACTAATATTCTTCAAAGAGTTTGTGGAAGGTTAATTGCAGTCTACGGCATATTTAGGTGTCTCTCCAGCCTCAGGGTTGACTTTGGTGTTAAGCATTGGCCATGAGGCTATGATTTGATGGAGCTTTGGCAGGTCTACACTCCCTGCACGCCCCCCTCCACCCCGCCCCCCAGGCTTGCTTGGTGGTCAGGCAGCTGGCCTAAAAACTGTCCCACCCTGGAGCTTAGATGAGTATACAGAGTTGTACCTCGAGGTCAGTATGTGCTGGGTTCCTGTTCCCCACATAGCATGATGTAAATAGGCTTGGCAGTCTTTACATCTGGACTAGGCTCCACTCAACCTTACATCAGTCGTGGGGTTCGGGTTGACATCTTCTGGATGTGCATGTCTGGGACAGCCCTCTGAGGAGTTTCTGGTGCTTTTTGTCTTCCTTGAGCAGCCAGACTCCTGTGCACTCTTGCTGTCCTCTTCCACCCCCTACCAACTCCTTCGTGGGTCCCAGAGTTTCCTGCCCCCCCAGGGCCATCTCCTGTGTTTCTTCTGTCAGAATCTCATGGCGCAGGGTTCAAACTCCAAGGTGAGGGAGGCTTTAGAGCCAGGAGAAAGTGCAGCTGTGAGGGGGAGAGGGAAGAAGCGTGCAGCATGGCAGCGTCACGCCTGGCATTCCTCCCAGCCAGTCACCCACCCCCCCGCTGCCATCTCCGCTTTATCCCCAGCACCATCTGTCACTTCCGTTGTCACCCCTGTAATCTTGACACTTCCCCAAGAAGCAGGCTATCCAGGGAGTGCCTGTTCCCTCCCTAAAGCAAAAACTGGTGGTAGGAAGGGGTGTGTGGGAGGCAACTCTCTCGTGCAACAGGGATCTGTCATGGAGTGGTATCTCCCTGTCCTGTAAAAATGGCCAGGAACCGTCTTCCGGAGGCTTTTTGAGAGAGAGAGACAAGAGCTGAGCAAGGACATCTGTGAAGCTGTCAGTGCCTGCTGGTGTTGAGAGGTCGTAAGTGAGCACCACCTGCCAGGCTGCAGCTCTGCCCCGCCTCCCTCATGGGCATCATGCCTTGCTATGGCTGCCAGCTTTAGGGAGGTCTGCCTAGGATCTTGTTTGCAATGGGTCAGAGTGGGGAGGCTGGTGGGAAGGCGCTGGTGATCCAAGGGAACACGTGATAAGGGACTGACTAGGGTAGGAAAAGAGAAGGTGGCAAGAAGGAGCCTAATTACAGTGCTGATAAGATGGGAGAATGTATGGAGGCCAGGACCCCAGGCCCGACTGGATGTCAGGGAGGGCTCTGGATGTTTTGTGCCCATCAGATTGTTGATGCCAGTAGCTTGCAGTTGGGTGAGACTGCAGACGCTGGTCATTGGTAAGTTTAGGCCTGAGGAGCAGCCCTTGAGATGAGAAAGGGGGTGAAGCCCTCTGAGTTTTGGGCTCTAAGATGGGTGAGGTGGAGGTATGTATTTGGGGCATTAACTACCATGAATGTCTCTGTGGCTTGGGTCCAGCTACCAGAAGAAAGCAGCTGCAGGATGACAGAGCAAAGGGCCTGAGGGCTGGCTGGCCTCTGTGTCTCCCCTGCAGCCTCTCCAGCCTTTCTGCCCCGGCATTGCCAGCACAGGTCTTGGGATCCCCAGGCACAGCCCCCAAGGCACAAGCTTTCCCAGACAGCCAGATGTGGAACTGTGAAGGCAGGAGGGAGACGCATCTGGCTGGGGGGTGGGGATATTTTCCAAGGGCAGCATGCCATCACACTAGAGTCGGAATTCTTTGCTGGAACCATCTGTATCCTCAGGACTTACATGAGGAACCATGGCTGGGAAGAGGGAGTGGAAGATAGGGCAAGGGACATCTCGGTTGTATCTTTACTTTAATGGCCCTTTGTGGTCTTAGGGGAAATTAGATATTCTCCCCCTCAGGACATGTGGCTTCTAGGCAATTCTTGGTCCCTATCCTGGAAGCCATGTTAGAGCGGTAGAGGCAGGGGAGGAGGGAATAAGGACCTGTTTCAGATTGCTGGTGCCAGCTACTCTTTGGGGGGCCTCATGGGCTTGGGCCATCTGGGGCCCAGGATTCCAGAGAGGCTTTGGGTATGAATCCAAGTCCACATCCCAGACCTGGCTGTGGGGCAGTGTGTGAATCTGATACTTTTCCTGGGGCTGGGCTGAATGGGGCAAGCAGCAGAATTACAGTACCGCGGCCCTGAGCCTTCACTGGCCCATGCTGGTGCCCCTGCATTTTCCAACCCTTCCCAGCGCCGGCATCCGTCCTGGGACTGGAGAGGGGGAGGGTCACCTTCACTGCCCGCCTCTCCCCATTCTAGGGTAGAGTCTCATTCACTGTGGAACACACTCTGTTTCCTTGAGTGATGTCCAGACCTGCTGCAAAGCAGTGGGGACTGTCGCCGGAGTCCCTAAGCCAAGTGGGAAAGTATGAACACATGGGTTTCCAGTGTCTTCTGAGGCCCAGAGTGTCTTTGCTCCATGGTGGAAGGACTGCTCCTTCTCAGACAGCACCACAAAGCCCAAGAAAGTATTGTGTCCTAGGCGTGGGGTGAGCTGCTTGGACCTAGAGACCAGTAACTGTGCTTGGCTTCTTAAAAACCTTGTTTTGACAGGAGAAGTGTGAAACAAACTATCCTATATTGCTAAATGGCAGTCCTGGTTTTCTGTGTGCATGAAAAGGGAGGAAAGTGCCCAGTGGTAAGATAGGGAAGCAGAGAGAATGGGGTATAGGGGAAGGGGC